GCAATAAAATTAATGCACCTGTTTATGACCAATGCCCACCTCACATCTATCAGAGCAATACCCACCTCCACTACGTCAAAAAGCTTCTACTCTGAAGAGGTACCTCTTTTCATATCCCTTCACTTTCTTGAAAACTAAAGCATATTTCAACAATTCTAGCATTTGTATTCGTCAATAGTGTTCTAAACTCCAGGAGATTAATTTTATTGCAATAATAATATTTTGCTTGCGAATCTGGTGGACCACTTACGTAGTAGAGGTGGGTATTGGTCTGATAGTCGGGGGCACTTGAGCCTGGGAAGTTTTTCGATACCGTGGGAAAATCTCTAGATCGGCGGCGCTTTTGAGCTGAAATTTTGGGGATTTGACCCGGGCCAACCCCAAAATTGACGAATTCGAATACAAATGGAATAATTGGTTAAATATTCTTTAGTTTTCAAGAAAGTGAAGGGATATAATAAAGTGTCATCTCAGGGTAAGAGCCTTTTGAAAATAGATTAATGGAGGGCTTTACGGAAGAGGGTTTACAGTGCAGGTGGGTAAAAAGTGCCTCCTCAGGGTAGGAGCTTCACGGAAGGGGGTACAGTGGAGGTGGGTAGTGGTATGATGGCTGTATTGGAGGGGGGTTTTTACGTGGTAGAGGTGGGTATTGGTCTGTGAAAACACTACTGTAAAGTGTGGAAAACTCTCCTGCAGATATTCTTTTTCAAGCAACATGTACTGAAAATCTGCGTTTTACGCTGTTCTCCATAAAAGATTTCTGATTTTCTTCATCTTCTTCTTCTTCTTCTAAACAAAGTACCACCATGTTCCGATATCAACTGCCAGTACTGGTTTTACTGTGCTGATTTTACTGTCATTTGCCATTCCAATTTCAACAGGGTACTCTTGTGGTCATTCAGTAATGAATCGACTGAATCCAGTGTGCTGAAAATAATATCGGAAAGGAATTCAGTACTGACAGAGTTGATATCGGAACATAATCTATATAAGGCTATGGTCCAAATATAACCAAACGTTAACCATTAGCTCTGTTCCAACAGACATGAGCACTATTCCAGAACCAATAATTTTTAGTTTTCCACGTATTTTTCAATAAGTTGAACGTTTTTCCTAATTGACAAATGGATTGATCCACTGGAAATTACCGTTCTAGAAAGGTTTTCATGACTGCTGGAACAGAGCTAAAGTAACCGAATCGCCAACAGATGTTTACTGAAAATTCCGGTTACTTTAGGGAACGCAAATATGGAAATAAAACATAATTGACAGAAGTTACAGATAAAACCTTGATAAAACCAACAGAACTGACATCCGATGGTCGGTAACTATTTTGACATTTGGTAAACCAGATTTCAGGAACCCGAGGTACAAAATTAACCAGTTTTCCAGGAACTAGAGAGGATTATCAGTTTTTATGTCTATGCTCGTGGGTGCCGTGGGTGCTCCGCACCCACTGTTTACGTCTCGTGGGTGCTCGTGCCCCTGAGCACCCACGTAGTCGGCGCTCCTGGAGAAAGGACACCAATCATTACCAACCTTTTGTTGCAAGACAGCACCAACACAGTTATCGGAAGCATCAACAACGATGTTAGTTTCAGCATTTTGTTTGGGAAAGTGTAACATGTATTGACTTGACAGAGCAAACTTGATATCCTCAAACGAATTAACTAAATGTTCTGACCACTCAATTCTTCTTTTCTCATCTGGATATACCATATTTGTTAAGTTGTTCCAGAAACAAATGGACATATTCTTTGTGCTGCTCAATTGTTTCACTGGCAATTAAACAGTCATCCAAAAATATGTGAAGAAAAATGGAAGGTTACGAGTTAATTCATTCAAGAACCGTTGTTGAAATGTTTGAGTAGAATTTTTTAGCCCAAATGGCATAGTAATATATATTCGAACAATCCAAATGGAGTACAAATAGCTGTCTTTGGAATATCTGCTTGGTTAATTGGAATTTGATGATATGCTCGTACCAAATCTTTTTTGGAAAAAAAATTCTTCCTTTGAAGCTGGAAACTGAAATCATGAATATGAGGAATGCCGTATCTATCAGGCAACTTCCGTTTGATTTAGGAACCATATGTAATGGAGAAGACCAGTTGCTTGATGATGGTCTGATAATTCCTGAATCAAGAAGTCGACTGAATTCTTTTTTAACAATTTCAAGTTTCTCTGGTGATAATCTGCGAGGTTTTGAAAATACAGGAGGAACACTTGTTTCGATAAAATGTACAGTTTTATGTTTGAATTTTGAGGGTGTCTTGTCCTGCCTCAAAAGCTCTGGGTATTCGAATAACATGTGTCGGAAGTCAGTGCGAACTTCAGTTAAGACAATTGAACATTTCATTGACTTCACGTCTGATTGAGTACCTTTCTCAATTATTGACCTAAATGAACTAAGTATATTAGAATTATGCATATTAATTAATAAATCAAAATGTGTCAAAAAGTCTGCTCCAAGGATCGGATATTTGACATTTGCTATGATGAACTTCCATTAAAAAATGTCGTCTGTATCACCGTAAATTGAAATTTTAGATCTATTTGCAGCAGAAATAAACGAAAACATATTTTCATTTATGAAATCATGTTTTTTTTTTTTGGTGGTAAAACACTTACTTCACTTCCAGTATCAACCAAAAACGAAATATTGTTGATGGAGTCTCTGACGAAAATTAGGCGACCACAAAGTTCTTTCGCAGCATAACAAGTCGCCCCTATTGCTTGCTGCTTCCCTCGTTTTCCTGCCATCTGCATGGCTGAACGCACTTCTTTGCCTTCTTTCCATAATTACTATGATACCAACAGATAGAGTTTTCTGTCAGACTTGTTGAATTGCCTGATCTTTTGGGTTGTCTTGTTAGATGATTCAACAAGTTTCTTCAACTCAGCTACTTCCTTTGATAGTTTGTCAAATTTTTCATTGAATCTCGATGATTTATTAATTCCATTCGCAGATATTGTTGATTGCTGATCAGAAGATTCAAAAATATTGTCACCCATTATTGCAAGTTCTCTGATGATATCCAATGGAAAAACATTTCCTTTAGGAAGGTTTGATCTAGGGCAGGAAATTTGTCTGTAAGTGATTTTATCTGACTGAGTATCCTTGAAGGTCGTTCTCCTTCAAACTTCGAATGCATAAAACGTCGCATCCGCTCCGAGTCAGATAGAGTAATTCTCTTAATGATTTCATTCTTAAAATCTTCATATGAGTTCGAAAAGGTATTAGGTATTATCTACCAAAATATCAGATAGCTAGCAATTTCAGGCGGCAAAGCATAAATTATGTGATTATATTTGATCTTCGAGTCGGTGATACCATAGTTTGAAAAAACTACTTCAACTTGAACAAACCATAACATCAAATCATGGCTCCAAAACTGAGGTAGTTTTATGTTGATCGCCGGAATTCTAACAGGACTGGCAAATGGCCTCGGCACTTCTCGATCTTCGACTGTATCCCTGCGTCCTCTAACTCTGGGCATTTTCTTGTCGGGGCCACCAATTTGTAGGAATTAGTTGACATTCGTTGTCCCCATTAGTTAACATAAGTTGTCACCTATAATGGTATACTATCTAATTGGAGTATGTAAAGTATTGCTATCACTACACATGGAACACTCCGCCTTCGGAGTCGTGATCCAAACTTTTCTTTTCACAAAATAAAATGTCACTTTTAGCACTTACACCTACTTATATCATAAATAACTATTATCTACAAAGCGAAAAATATTATTATAGCACTAGAATAAAATCAACTGCAAATTCATAAATTTTTAGGGCAACAAAATTGAGATTTACATCCCATACGCAATGCTACTAACTTTCCAGCTCTTCTTTTTATCTTGGCGAGCTGACGAAATCAAAACACAGGCAAGTAACGTCAATTACTTAACACGAATCTAATTTGCATGCAATTTTCCTCCAGAGTGGAGACATTGCATTTGCGATTTACAAATCCGACTGGTACAATTACAACGCAAAAGTGGGCAAATTAATTGTAATGGTAGTAATGAGAGCCAGAAGAGAGCTGACTATGGATATCGGACCTTTCGGACCGATTACCCTTGATTCTGCTAAAACTGTAAGGATATTTTTGTACCTACATTTTTGATTGTTTAATGTTTGTATATTTTTAGCGCATGCAAGTGGCTTATTCCTATTTATCCGTAATGTCTGGAAATAACCGCAATAATTAAAGATACTATAAATAAAAGATACCTAACTACAATAGTAGTTTTTCTTTACAATATTATTAACCATAATTATATGTTATTACACACAGGCATGATATATGTTTCACAAACTTAGCTTCAAAGAACTGTAATTTTAGTTTTAATAAAATATAGCAAAGTGAACATATATAAAGAAAAAATATTGTTTTATTTGTTACAAAATGAACAACGACGGAAACAAATTCTACAACATGACCAAATGGCTGCTTATGGCAGCTGGAATTTGGACATTGCACGTTGAAGATAATTTGAAAATGCCTTATAAAACCTACAAGTTTTTTCTAAGATTTAATTATTTGTGCTGCAATTTAGCTATTGCTGCTAATTTCATTGTAAACGTAGGTGTGAATAATAGAAAAGGTAATTTCATAATATTTGTTTTTAATTAATAAAATGCTGAGTTATTTTTTTAGCTGTTGAATCTTTAGCAATAACGATTAGCAACCTTTGCATAACCCTAAAACTGATTTTATGTATGGCCAAACGTATGACAAAACTTTTGAAGATGGCAATTGAAGATTTAAAAAATAATGTTTATAATGATAATCAAATGCAAGGGATTGTGCTAAAATACACAAAACGAATAACAATTTTAAATATAATTATAATCACGTACACTTTTGGATTAACAGCACATTTTAGCATTTACGGGGGTCTTGTTGAGTATTACAAATACACGTACAATCATCCAAATATAACAGAAAAACCCACTCATTTGCTTCTAATGTGGTTCCCGTTCGATTTGCAAAAGCATTTTAACTCGGCCATAGCATTGCAAATATTCATACTTATCACGTGCTCAGCATTTAATTTTTCTACGCAAGGCTTATTTAACACTATGATGGTTTACGTTGTCATTAAACTGAAAATGTTGCAGCATTTTTTCAGGAATTTTGACAAGGGGAATGGAACTGAGATGAATAATTTACAAGCATGTATTAGGAAGCATCAAGAATTGATTGAGTAAGTTATTAAGGATTTAATTAATATACAAGTGCTTATTAAATATTTTTAGATTTGCCCAAGATTTGAATAGCAGCATGAAATATCTGTTGCTTATTGAGTATAGTGTTTCTTCTGTGATGCTGGCCTCAGTGTTTGTGCAAATAACAGAAGTGAGTTTCTTGTATGGAAAAATATTGGAAATTAGTTGCTTAATTTCAGAGAAATCAAATTGAAATCAATATCCCTCATGCCTTGATACTAACATTTCAACTATTTTTGCTATCTTGGAATGCACATGAAATTAAAACACAGGTATGATTTTCATTGAACAAGACTGATTGAAATTGTGATATATATAAATTTGATTTTAATTATGTCCGAAATTCGGATCTCTATATTGGAATCTGGCTTATTATGGGGTGATCCAAATTAGGAGAGTGCTAGGAAATGCAATACTTATTTATGTGCTTCAAAGTTTTCTGTTTCCTAGAAATTCGAGAAAAACTATAAATAACCAATTGTGTTTTTTGTCAATAATTCATAAACCATTAACTTCAGACTTTAAAATTAATTAAGACAGGATATAAAGAAGCATTACATTTCTTGAAACTTTTCCTCCCTGTATTTCTCATAATAAGCGAGATCCCAATGAAGAGTCTCGAATTTCAGTCACACTGTATACTTTGGCATTCGATGTCTCCATAATAATGAAAATTTGAACTATTCCTGGCTCTTGAGTGCATTTAGAAAAATTGGGAAACCATCAATTAAAACTTGGACTATTGAATATCTACAGAAGTGACTCAAGAACCGGTAATAATGAAAATTTGAACTATCTACCTGCTCTTGATAATATGGACTGACATTGAGTCATCATTTTAGAGTACAAACATTGCTGATGCCATTTACGAGAGCAATTGGTACGAGCGAGACGTCAAGATTCAGCAAATGCTCAAGTTGGTCATATTGCGTGCTAGAAGAGAGCTAACTGTGGACATAGGACCTTTTGGACCTAATGATATCGATGCTGCATTAATAGTGAGACATTTCAATAACTTAGTTTAGGTACTACATTATTTTTACTTTTTATTTTAGAGATTCAAATTGGCCTTCTCATATATTTCTGTCATGTCTGGAGTAAATTCATCTTAAATATTATCTAGAAAAGCTACAATAACCAATTTTGCACGGCTTATAGGGAATAGGGAATTTAATACTCTTTCCAATGATGTATAATTGTGAGCCATTTTCTCAAATCTCAATAAAGATATGAGCAATTATTCATGAGCGTGTCATGATTTCAAAACAATTTCTGAGCCGAAAAAAATATTTCCTATTAGATTTTTTTTTTCCAATTGAAATATGCAAATGTGATTTGATGCTAGAGATGTTTCTGATTAATTTGGACCCGTTCTATCGATTTAAAAAATCAAAATTGAGAAAAACTAAAAAATAGGAATTTTCAATTTTTTGCACTTTTTCTTAAGGGCAGAGCTGGGCAGTAGCTAGCTACCAAGTAGTTAATCTACTAACTTAGCAACTTTTTTGGTATTGCTAATAACTTATTCAAGCTACTTTGAAAAAAAAGTAGCTTGTAGCTGTAGCTTTTGGTAATATGTTCCACGTATTCATAAGCTACTGTGAAAACTAGCTAGCTACTAAAACAAGCTACTTAAGCTCAAACTACAATTATCATTTTTTCGGAAAAATCTTAGCCAGTCTTGTTTAGACTAGTTTTAACTTATCTCTGTACTCTGTACCTATGTTCTATGTGCCCTGTTTTATTCTCGCATTCGTAGATCACTGTGATCAAAGTGCACTTAATAAATGTCCAGTGGTTTTTGTCAAAAATATGAAAACTGCATTTCCTAGAGAAAATTAAAATTTTATTTGCTCTGCTTAAGGGTACCCTCTTTGGATTTTAATTTGCAAATTTTCAGACCACAATATCTTGGTAACCACAAGTGGTACTGGGACAAAATTTTCAGAAATTGCAGCTTTCTCGGTTTTTGAGAAAATCGAGTATGAAGTTTTGGACAAGATGTCGACTATACATGTTACATTTCAAGCTCAATTTCTTGACAACTCATCAGCTACAATAACCAATTTTACAGGGCTTATAGAAAATTTAATACTCTTTCTTATGATGATGACTAAACCTCAAATTGACTTCTAATTTACCTTGTTTGATAAAAAGATACTGGGTAATGAATCCTGGAAGTTTAAAGTCGATCTGATACTTCATAGTTATTTTTTATACAAGACGATAAAATGGTAGTTTATCGTTAACCGGAAAAGTTAATTCACGAGCGGAATCGCGAGTGAATTAATTCCGGGAGACGATAATGGCATTTTATCGTCGTGTGTAAAACAAAGTTTTTTTTCCATAGCCTAATTATGGACGCCTGTAGTATCAAAAATATTTAGAAATTATTTGAGTCGAACACTTTTGCATAGGTAGAAATTCGTTTGACAAATAAATAAAAAACAAAATAAAATATGTTTTTTTTTTTAAAGATAATTCCCTAAGTCAAAAATTTAGTAACTATGTTGGCAACACAAGCCTTTTCTACATAAAAAATTTGAAAGCATTGACAATTTTACATTGTATTGCCAACATAATGTCATTTTGACTTTTATCTTTAAAAAAAAAAAAAACTTTATAAATATATTTTTGATAAAATAAACGTCTTTATGTCCGATTGACCAATAAAGTGCTATTTATAGAACAGTTCTGCGTCAATAAAGTAGCACTTTATTGTACTAGTAAAATAGAGTGCTACTTTATTGCCTACCTGGACTACCTGATAAGGTAAAACATGTCCTGACAACCTGCCAAAGTGAAACAGGTCCTGACAACCTGCCAAGGTGAAACAGGTATATCTACGCGAATTTTACTTTTTTCAATCAATTTTTTTTAATTTTTAACAAAAACCAGTCAGAATCGTACATAAAATCATGTATATAACGCTTACATAAACAGGCTTTATTGACTCATTATTTATTATTTTATATTTATTATTATTATTCGTACAATAAAGCCTTACTTTATGTACTTGTTATATAAATAGCTATTATCTATCCTTAATCTACCCTTGCGGTTAAAGTACTACTTTATCTACTATTTTTAGTAGATTAAAGGCTACTTTACCAGTGGCTATGGAAAATAGTATATTACATGCGGAGGTGGAAAGCGTTTCATTATTGTCGAGAGGTTGACCGAGGTGCGAAGCACCGAGGTCAACCAATTCTCGAAACAATAATGTGAAAACTTTCCACCGAATTATGTATATCTACTATTTTATTTTGAACCTTAATTATTGAAAAAACTAAGGTAAAAATATGACAAAAATGGAATTTCGACTGACAGTCTGACACCGGCATTGACATCTTATGAAATTTCAACAATATAAACACATGTGTCATCTAATTCTAAATACAAACATGGCACCTGGATTTGTGTTTAGGTGTGAAAGAACAATTTATCAGGGCCGAAAGTGAGTTCTCCAGGCCGAAAGTGACAGAAGAACAGTCACTTTCGGCCTGCATTAAAGTAAACAAAAGTAAAGTGATATTTTCGAACCTCCAAACCAGTAAGGAATGCAATAATTACATATATGGTTCAAAATAATAGTATATTATATACCACCGGGTAGAGAAGTTGGTCATTATATACCGAGCGCTATTATAAACCGAGGCGCGCAGCGCCGAGGTTTATAATGCTTGAGGTATATAATGACTTTCTCTACCGAGGAATATATAGAATTTTTTTTACTACTGCTAGTAAAAAATAGAAAATTTGTTTAAATCCATGCTCCAATTATTTTTTTTGAACGTCCTCTTGAAAGTGCTGCCCTCTATCAACAGCTTATGATAACTTCCTATGTACCTACAGAAACCTGTATTTTTTTTTAATTGACGTCTGAAATTGAAATTGAACCAATAGAAACATGACAATATCCTTGCGTGATGACGTAATTTTCATTATTGACCTAGGTATTTTTTCATTATTTTCATTATTCACCTAGGGAGAGAAATTCAATTTTTTCCTAGAAAAATAGATTGAATAATGACGATTTCCCAGATTAGTAGTAAAAAAAAGTATTTTATTTTAAACGTTATATGTACTTTTTACATTCCTTACTGGTTTGAAGGTTCGAAAATGTCACTTTACTTTTGTTTACTTTAAAGCAGGCCGAAAGTGACTGTTCTCCTGTCACTTTCGGCCTGGAGAACTCACTTTCGGCCCTGATAAATAGTTTTTTCACACCTAAACACAAATCCAGGTGCAATGTTTGTATTTATGAAGTAGATGTCATATGTGTTTATATTGTTGAAATTTCATAAGATGTCAATGTCGGTGTCAGACAGTCGAAATTCCATTTTTGTCAAATTTTTACCTTATTTTTTTTTCAATAATTAATGGTTCAAAATAAAATATTATACATACTTCGGTGGAAAGTTTTCACATTATTGTCTCGAGAATTGGTCGACCTCGGCGCTTCGCACCTCGGTCAACAAATTATATCTCTCGACAATAATGAAACACTTTCCACCTCCGCATGTAATATACTATTTCAGGATTTTTTAAAGGTGATTTAACGTGAATTTTCCAACTTTTTCTGGTATTAAGTTGGAAAAAACCTCATAATTTTATTTCTGAGCTTCAGAATGACTTCAAATTTGCCTTGTTTGATGAAATCTTCCTGGTTAATGAATCCTGGGAGTTTGAAATGGATTCGATACTCCGAAATATTTTTCAGGAATTTTCAAAGTAGATTTTACGTGAATTTCCCTGGTATTAAGCCACAACTATTCTTGGTAGAAGCAAGCTCATTAGGTACTACATAATATGATAGCACATTGAAAAAATAGCTACCGGAATCTAAAAATTCACTCTCAAGAACCTGAATTCTCTTCTTTCCTACACCAGAAGCTATAAACAGGTTAGGTACTTTACGGTCTGGAGGGAGGAATAAAGCAATTCAGGCAGTAAGTAGTAGGATAGTTGTCGGACATGAAAAGTGCCTCGTGTGTTTTGCAGTAGTAAAATAAGCATTTCAAAGATGGCATCTTGCATCTATAGATATTCGAGAAAGTCGATACGATAAAATAAAACAAATAAATACTTTGAAAATTGATTATTTGATGAAGAATCGACACCTTCACAGAATAGAAAGTACCTAGGTGCTGTTGTCACTACCTTGCATTTTTTATCTAATATGGCGATTAATTTCATCTGTCAATTCGGTCAAACACGGTAAATCCGAACCTCGGAAGTCTTATTATTGATTTGTTGCGGTCTCTTATAG